TCTCTCTCTCTCTCTCTCTCTCTCTCTCTCTCTCGGGTGTATATACTGTAGTGTTTGAGATAATAGTTTAGGAGTCGAAAGCATTTATACATAGAAAGTGAGTGCGAAAGAGATTTTGAAGATAATAACAAAAGAGGCAGATTTTAACACAATTTCTCACAACAATTCTCATATTAAATACAATACAACTGCAAAGAGTAAAGAATCAGATGATAGTATAAAAACACATTTAAATTTATCTGTATATACGATAATCTCTCTCTCTCTCTCTCTCTCTCTCCGCAGTAAAATTTGCTGCACTTTTTGTTTTTATATAAAAATGTTAAATAATTTTATTAAACGAGACACAAAACCCTTCACGAAAACCCTTTGCTATAAAACAATGAAATACATTGAATGAAAAGTTGTTTACAAATTCTGTCACAAATATTATAATAAATTAGGAAAACTTTATCATCATTTATATAAATTATTGTCTTTTTTACTAATTATAATCTAAATATATTACTAAAAACATACTATAATTACACCACACTTTTTAATTAAGGGATTCATTAATAAAAACCAGTAATGAATAGTAGCCTAAGACTTTAATTCAACAGCAATTTTGAATAACAATCAGTTATTACTCTATAAATCATGAAATGTCTAAAAATGGGAATATCTTTCGCATAGCAAATAAAAACAAAATAAATAAATATTATTACCCATTAATTATAATATTTGCAAATTAATACTACAGTAGTTGTAATGTAATCATAACAGAATGTAATTATTTTATAATATTTAAACCTAATAAGTATTACCACTTTTATAAGAACAATCACCTAAAAACTATACAAATATTAGTTTCTAAAAATTGTTGACATATTTTAAATAAATTAAAATAGATTTAAATTTTACACATAAAAAATAATTGAATTAAAAGTTGCAAAAATTGATTAAACATTTTACAAGACTATTGAACATAAAGTTACAGCAAAAAAGTTAATGCAAACAAAAAACAAATTTGAATGAATGCCTACGAAATGAGTGCTTTTATGGTAAAAAAAACTTCAAGCCTTTAGTCCAATACAAAGACATTCTTCCGACACAATCGCTCATCAATGCATCACTCAATCAATAATTGCATCATTTTCTCCCCAAAAAACTACCAAAACTTACGCTTAATTTACTTTAACAACAAAAAAGTAATTGTTTACAGAATATGTCGAAACACTAATACATTGTATGATAAGTGTATTCATTAGATAATTATTCTATGTTTACATTTCGCTTCAATTTAATCTCTTTATACATCTTATAAGAGAATAATAATAAGAGTCAAGAATTTAGTGAAGGAATTGATTAAAATTAAATCAATTTGCATTTCATAATAAAGATTTCAATTTATAATTATATTTGGTTCACTAATTTTCAATACATATCACTTAACACAGACTTTTCAGATATTATATATTTTCAGCAAATAATAAATGAATTATTGAACAAAATTATTTATGCATATAATAGTTGCATATTTTGTATGTGATTTTAATTGAAGTGTTTGTATTAATAATAAATTAATAATAGCATAATGTTAACAATAAGAAATACAATGAGAGCTCTTTTGTATTTAAATAAAATTAACTTAAACTCAAATATTAAGTGTTCATGAATTAAATACAATTAATAAAGCATAATCCGGTGACATGAAATTTATAGCAAAACAATAAATTTTATTTTATGGCAATTAATAGGATTTAAATACATGTTTGCAATACATTAATACACAAAAATTCAAATTTAGATTTTTAGTTTTAATAAAAATACATAATTTTGCACATTTTTATAAATGTTAATTTAGTGTTAATTAGTTTTCAATTTTAATATAAATTCATTGATTTAAGATCATTAGAAATTATTGGCACACAATTATTAATTATTTGAATATAAGTCAAAATTAAGATAATAGTCGAAATAAAGCATGATAATTAACTAGAATTAAAGTCTCATTTTGGAGTACTTATTCATTATAGCAATGGCATCGGTGTACTCTTTCTTGCTAATCTCCAGCTTAATCCTCAACTCTTTATCGGGATCTTCACCAATGATTTCATCGATAGTCAATTGATCCCTAAACCTGACCTGGAGTTCGGTTCTTATGAACTTCGAGGTGGCGTTTATGAGCTCTAATTGACACAATTTAGGCAAACGATCCCTACATTCAACCAATTATAATAATCATATTTAATATCAAATATTATACTAAATAGTGTTCACAACAAACTTGAATGTCTTCTTCAGTATAACGAAGTATGTGTGAAGATATCGTTTCACTTCATCCACTTGTGAATGCATATCAGGAAAGGCCACGTCTTGAAACATATCATTGGCACTCAATTGTGAGCCATCGATAGAATCGCCGTATTTTGATTGCCAAACAATGGATTTAATTGTTTGATTTGTAGCAACGGTTACGCCCGCCTTCGCTATCCAATTATACCATTTATCTCGGGGAAATTGTGTATTAAACGTTAATATAAATTGGTTGGTTATGCGATAACTAATTAAATAAATAAATGTAAGATAATATTACTAAACGTATTAAAATTAACTGTTAAGTTAAAAATATACACCTTTTGGACAAAACGAGTGCCAGTTTCACGTCGGAGTTGGACGCAATTTGACAGCCCTTTAGCTCGAGTGAACCTTTTTTACCATTTTGTTTCTCGTCTTTAAACCAGCAAAGAGTGGTGTCTTTGAGAACAAAATACAAGTCATTCTTTTGATATGAAATCCAATCCGACATTAAGTTCTGCGCGTTTTGTTGAATAGTTTGTGGTAACACTACTTTCCCATCCATTTGTATATCTGGGTCTACGGCTATTGTCTTACCATCACTTGTCAAATATATAAGTTTAAATTAATAACACTATAATAGCATTGTATTGAATACCCAATCATTTCAATGAAGTCCTCGTGATGTGTGTTTGGATAGCATTTCTCCATTTCAATCAAATGGTCGACAATTTCTTTACATTTATTATTAGACTCAAGAATGAAATCCATAGTAAATTTAGCGAAAATTTTGCTAAATAAAGAGCAAATTTAACGACACATAAATAACTTGTAAAAAGCTTACTTTAAATTAGAAAAACAGTTGATATCCTTCAAACATTTGTGGATTGTATTCGTGATCTCATCGGTAACCCAATCGATACAAGCGATGGACGGCTTTATGAACAGATCTTTATGAACATATTTTTAGTAAACATTAATAAGACTGGTTTGCATTCATAACACATACCAATTAAAGGGCCAACACATGAAGTGAATGCGGCGTCGGGTATGAAAACACCCGAACGCGTGCCGAATGAGTTTTGAATAGCGGTCGCGATCTTACGGTTCAAACTCTTCTCGTCGTAAAACAAGAGATCAATCTCTTTGGGAAACGAGTCATTCATCAAGACATTGATCACTGCACCACAACTCGGATTATTGACGTCTACTTTCCAAACACTGCCTCCCATTGCGATATTGAAGTTATTGCAAAACGACTCAATGGTTTGGGCCAATAGTCTCTCCTTTTCCATAATACTCTCCGGAAACTCAATTCTTTTCAATTTTTCATTGACTTTACTTAAGTTAAGCTCTGTTTTGGCCTTCAATGGCGGCAATCGTTTGGCGATGTGTTTCGAAAGTTCCGTTTGTAGATATTGTTGCAAATGTTTAATACCCATCCTTTCGATCGATAGCCCATAAGACTCGTGTTCTTCAAAGAATTCGTGTTCGTCTTCCAGTGCTTTTTTGATGTCTTTGTTGTTTTCGATATCTTTTTGGGATCTGTTAACCACTCCGTGGAAACCTCTCTTCAAACGGATGGGATGATTACCATTGATTATATCACTGGCATCGGTTCCCTTATCCATGAGATCCAGTTTTGTGAGAACACCGATAGTGCGGTTGCCCTCGGGATCCACTTTATTGGCCAGTTTTAGCGCATCAGATGTCGCCAAATCTGGATAAGTTATATACTGTATATCTAATATTATATTTTACATAATAATCAAGGAATATATGTATAGATACCCTGATTGGCTGCAGTGACGGCTAAAATGAGACAATTTTCGCCCGAAATGTACTCCAAAATCATTTCCTCAATCCTGGCCTCAATATCCTTGGGTTGGTTCCCAACGGCCACTCTTGTCATTCCCGGCAGATCTACAAGAGTTAGATCCAACACATCCGGCGAATAGATCTTCAGATTGATTGGTTTCGATGATATTCCGCAATCTAGAACTTCTCGATCGGTTTCGGCAATGATTTCATCCCTAATTTCATTGAAATCGCGAAATTGATTTCCCGGCGAATGAACGAATTCACCGAAATCTATATCCATTACAATCAATCGTTAGATATTACATTAATGTACACTAATTGTTACAATACCATCATTAACAGGATATTAAATACTTAGATTGTTTTCATACCTTCTGTGATGTCTTTATTTGATATTAATTGCAAAACGAGTGGTCTTCGGGTGACAATACCCGACCCGCGGGGCAGGAAATCGCGGCCAACTATGCTCTCCAAAACACTGGATTTACCCGAAGACTGACCGCCGATAACAACTATTTGTGGCAAATCAAAGGCAATAGTGTTTTTGAGTTTGTCCTGCAATTCATTGACCACTTGTATGAGATTTTGGGCAAATTTAGCCATTCTTAAGAAAATTATTGCTACAATTGAATACTGAATGTAAAACAATTTTATGAATTGCTATTAAAATGACTCTCAAAAACTGTTAATGAATTGAACCAAAAAAATTGGTGCTTTCAATGAATAGTTTAAAAACAATGATTTATTTTATATAATGCTAATATCCGTAAATAGCTTTTAATGATATCCGTGAATAACATATTACATGTGAGTTTTGAAATGAATTATCATAGCTCATTGAAATGTACATATCTAAATGATATTAATAATAAGTCAAGATTAATTTTTGTAGATAATTTATTAGCATTAAGTTGGTATACTGTATATTTATATATGCCCAATTATATCAATACAGTATATCAGGTATTGCTCTATTAATATTGATAATACATATTATTACTATTAGAATATTTATAATTTTAACTTTAGTTTTAGTTTCTAATCTATAATATACAGTATATTGAAGTGATATGAAAATTACACATTACACAAGAATTCTATCAATGTATTATTCATAATGTTGTTTGATACTTAATTTCAAACATTGTTTTTATAATTATGATTCATAATTTATGAATAACCAAATTGTTTACTGTTAACTCATTATGAATTTGCCTTCACTTTCAATCACTTGTTTTATTGAATTGTGATTACGATTGTGACATATTTTATGAGATATACTTTGAGACTCAATAAATAAGTCTTAAGATTTACGATCGTCTCAATATATTATATAAATATTTACGGTTCATGTTTTATATCAAAAATTTCAAAACATAATGTTATGTTTGACCGGTTTGAGGGAAGGCAGGGATGCAATTAATTAATCGTGATTACTGAATGACCAAGTCAAATTTTAGACTATAATTCAAGATAATTGTTACTGTAATTATTGTCTCCGCTTTGAATATACAGAAATACTCAAAATATCTCATTTTCAATAAATGTTTAGTTAAATGATTTATCCAGGTTTATAATAAACCCCACTTTTATATTACTGTACACTATCTATAAATAATATTTGAATAGTGAATAAATTACAAAATTGTGTCAATTGAAAGCACTTATGTTTATGACTGATATTTTATTAATAGTTTTCAAATATTATTTTGTGCAAAATCATTAAAATTACAGAAAATGTCGAAACACTAATACATTGTATGATAAGTGTATTCATTAGATAATTATTTTATGTTTACATTTCGCTTCAATTGTATATAAATCTCTTTATACATCATATAAGGGGTGATTCACAAAGTACGTTCGCATTTTAAAAAAATCTAGACCCCCTCCCCCTTAAGTTCGCAATTGTTTACATGTAGTCTTATTAAAAAAAGTACGTTCGCATGTCCCATTTACATTTCATTATAAATATTACAAATTATAATTATATTTGGTTCACTAATTTTCAATACAATTCACTCAACAGAGTTTAGATAATATAAGAATTAAGCTAATAATAAATAAGTTGTTGAACACAATTATTGATTAGTTGTATATATTGTATAAGATTTTGATTTTAGTATTGAATATAATGAGAGCTCTCTTTGTGTTCAAATTCAGTAAACTTTGAAACTTTATTTTATTTAATAACACTTAAGATAAGTTGAATACAATCACTAAATCATAAGACACTGTCTGCTCAATCGTCACATCAAATTCAATGCAAAATAACTTTTATTTTATAGGATTTGAATACAATGTTTGCAATTTATAAATACACAAAAAGTCACATTCAGATTATTATAGTTTTATCAAAATTAAGAAATTTAAATATTTTTGTATTAATTTTAATTAGTTTTCCATTTGCATGAATTGCAAATAATTGGCACACAATTAGTTATATTAATTATATAATTAAACGTCATAATTAAGATTATAATAAATAGCATTTGCATTAAAACACAATTATAAAAAGCATTAAATTTACACAAAATGTCATATTTACGGAATTTAACACATTCTTACATGTATTATATTAGTTTTTAATTTTAATATAAAATCAATGAGTTAAATTTTGAGCACATAATTACTTATATTAATTATATCATTATACATAAGTTGTAATTAAGATTATAATAAATGTCATTCATATTAAACCATAATTATAAAAAGCGTAAGAATTAACATAACTTGAAAATTAAAGTCTCATTTTTGAATACTTATCCATTATAGCAATGGCTTCGATGTAATCCTTCTTACTATCCATTAACTCAATCCTCAGCTCTTTGTCGGGATCTTCACCAATGATTTCATCGATTTTCTGATTGTATTGATCCCTAATTTTAAATATGAGTTCGCTTTTTATAAACTTCGAGGTGGCGTTTATGAGCTCTAATTGACACAATTTAGGCAAACGATCCCTACATTAAACACATTATAATAAACATATTTAATATTTAAATACAAAATATTATACTAAATAGTGTTCACAACAAACTTGAATGTCTTCTTCAGTATAACAAAGTACGAGTGAAGATATCGTTTCACTTCATCCACTTGTGATTGCATAACATCGGGAGAAGCCATGTCTTTACGCAATTGGGAACTGCTTTCGAAAGACTCGTCACATTTTGAATCCCAATTAATGACGGGAACGGCGGCTGTCGGCCTATTCTTAACGCCCGCTTCTATTAGCCATTTATACCATTTGTTCATCACTTCATATGAAACAAACTCTAATACAAATTCATGGCTTATGCGATAACTAATTAAATAAATGTAAAATACATTAAATATTTAATTCACACAATTTAATTAAAAATATGACTAACCTTTGAGGCAAAATGAGTGCTATTTTCCATTCATTAACCACTAATTGACAGTCCATTACTTCTAGTGAACCCCTTTGACTCCTTTGGTATTCATCTCTATACCAGTAATAAGTGTTTCCTTTGAGAACAAACCACAAGTCATTCTTCTTGAATGAAATCCAATCGCATTTTAAGTTATGTGCGTTTTGTTGAGAAATTTTTGGTTGTCTTTTCAAAGATAATCATTTTAACAATAAATCAATTGAATTGTATTGAATACTTTATCATTTCGATGAAGTCCTCGTGAAGTGTGTTTGGATAACATTTCTCCATTTCAATCAAATGGTCGACCATTTGTTTGCATCTCTTATTAGACTCGCGAACAAAATCCAGAGTTAAGTCGGATAAGGATTTCCTAAATTGAGAGTAAAATTCGTGATTATTACCAGAAATTAGTTAAATAATAATAATATATACTTTAAATTAGGAAAACAGTTGATATCATCCAAACATTTTGTGATTGTTTTTGTGATCTCATCGGTAACCCAATCGATACAAGCGATGGCCGGTTTGCGGAACATTTCTGTTATAATTTAGTCGTAAAATTAATTTCATCAATTATTTTACAATTATTTAAATACCAATCTGTGGGCCAACACATGACGTGAAGGCGGCGTCGGGTATGAAAACAACCAAACGAGTGCCGAATGAGTTTTGAATAGCAGTTGCGATCTTACGGTTCAAACTCTTCTCGTCGTAAAACAAGAGATCAATTTGTTTGGGAAACGTGTTGTTCATTAAGACTTTGATTACTGCACCACAACTCAAATCATTAACGCCTACTTCCCAAACACTGCCTCCCATTGCGCTCTTGAATTGTGTGCAAAACAAGTCAATCGTTTGGATCAAATGCTTCTCCTTATCGGCGCTTTCCTCTGGGAACTCAATTTTTAGTAATTCTTCGTTAATTTCGTCTAATTTAAACTCCGTTTTGGCCTTCAATGGCGGCAATCGGTTGGCGATGTGTTCCGACAGTTGGCTTTGAAGGAATTGTTGCAAATGTTTAATACCCATACGTTTGGCCATCGACGGCCCATAAGAGGGATGTTTGGCGAAGTATTTGTGCTCGTCTTCCAGTGCTTTTTTGATATCTTTGTTGTTATCGATGTCTTTTTGGGATCGATTAACCACTCCGTAAAAACCTCTCTTTAAACGGATGCCGTGATTACCGATCAGTATATTGCGGGCATCGGTTCCCTTATCCATGAGATCCAGTTTTGTGAGAACACCGATAGTGCGGTTGCCCTCGGGATCCACTTTATTGGCCAGTTTTAAAGCATCAGATGTGGCTAAGTCTGGATTTAGAAACAGTTTAGTTAGACATATAAAATATAACCATCACAGCAATAGATACCCTGATTGGCTGCAGTGACGGCCAAAATGAGACAATTTTCACATGAAATGTACTCCAAAACCATTTTCTCGATTTGAAACTCAATATCTTTGGGTTGGTTCCCAACGGCCACTCTTGTCATTCCCGGCAGATCTACAAGAGTTAGATCCAACACATCCGGCGAATGGATCTTCAGATTGATTGGTTTCGGTGATATTCCACAATCTTCGTCAACCACTCGATTGGTTTCGGCAATGATTTCATCTCTAATTTCGTCGAAATCGTAAAACTGTTTGTCTGAATGAGAAAATTGAGCCAAATCTGCGAAATCGATACAAAGGATCACTTTATTGACACAATTAAAAGATATTTATAGTTCATATATCTATAGTATAGGGTATACCCTCTTCCCTATCTATGTCTGAAATCAATTGTAGCACAAGTGGTCTTCGGGTGACAATACCTGTCCCGCGGGGCAGGAAATCGCGGCCAACAATACTCTCCAAAACACTCGACTTTCCCGAAGACTGACCGCCGATAACAACGATTTGTGGCAAATCAAATACAACAGTGTTTTTGAGTTTGTCCTGAAGTTCATTCACTACTTGTATTAGATTTTGGGCAAATTTAGGCATTTTTAAGACAAATACCGATTGAGTGTTCAATTATAACTTATATTTTATAAGATAAGACAATCAATAATTAATTTTTAATCATTAATTTAAAATACAATTAAAATTATTTTCTATTAAATAGTGGTTTTGTTAACAAATTACCAAAACATGTGCTTTGAATGAGTGTTAAAAAAGTAATGATTTTTATTGCGATAAAAATGGTATCAAATGTTAAGCAATTAATGGTTTGCTGTAATAATTGGTTTAGTAATACAGTTGTACTACACGTACACTCATTTTTGGTAACTTTTGATTGGCTTTTATTGTTTTGTGTTAACATTAAACTATTTCAACATAAGACAGGTATTGATATGGTATTGCGGGACAACTGTCATATCTTGAAATAGTTTAATGTAACAATAGTTTAATGTAACAAAAAAGGTGAGATTTTGTTGAAATTACCAAAAGTTTTGCAATCATTGATTGCCAAACAAATACTGCTTTACTATTATTATAATTTTTAATGTAAATTTAGTATAACTTAAAAATTGAGAAAATCATTGAAATTGTATTCAAAGTTATTGCCATATTATATTGAATTACATTCAAAATTGACCACTAATTAAGACTTTTTATTTAAATACAAAATCAAACTTTTATTGGTTTGTAAAACAATTCACTACTAATTTTGAAAATAATTTAAATCTAAATCAAATATAATTTGCAATTATTTTATTAGAAAACTGTGTTTGTATTGATTATAATGAGAGCTATCTTTGTATTCAAATTCAATAAACTTTCAATTATTACTAAAGTAAATGACACTTGAGATGAGTTGAATACAATCACTAAATTATAAGACACTGTCTGTCCGATCGTCACTCAAATTCAATGCAAAACACAATTACATATTTTATAGGATTTGAATACACAATAAATGAATGCAAAAATCGTAGTTTTATTTTAATGTAAAATTTTAAGCATTTTTATATTAATTTAAATTAGTTTTCGATTAAAATATAAATTATATGATTTAGATTAGTTGCAAATAATTGGAAAACACTTATTTGTAGTAATTATATAATTAAGTCATAATGAGTTCTAATAACGTTAAAATTATGAATATATTTAAAAGCAATACTTAAGAACACATAAAAAATAAAAGCAAAATATTATTATAAAAAGAATAAGAATTAACAAAATTTAAAAATTAAAGTTTCATTTTTGATGTCTTATCCATTATAGCAATGGCTTCGATGTAATTCTTCTTCTTATTCATTAACTCAATCCTCAGCTCTTTGTCGGGATCTTCGCCAATGATTTCATCGATTGTCGAGAACTGATCCCGAATTCGGACCTGGAGTTCGGTTCTTATGAACTCTGAGGTGGCGTTAATGAGTTCTAATTGACACAATTTAGGCAAACGATCCCTAAATTAAACCAATTATAATAAACGTATTTAATATCAAATATTATACTAAATAGTGTTTCACAACAAACTTGAAGATCTTCTTAAGCACAACGAAATAAGTGTGAAGATATCGCTTCACTTCATCCACTTGTGTGTTCATTACGTCCGGAAACGTAATGTCTTGAGTCACGCAATTGACACTCAATTGGGAACTGCTTTCGAAAGACTCGTCACATATTGAATCCCAATCAATACCTTTTGGGGCAGTGGTTATCGGACGTGTCTTAACCCCATTACTTGATAAACATCTATACCATTTTGTGGTCGCTTCCGCAGAATTGAACGATAATATCAATTGTCTGCTAATGCGATAACTAATTAAATAAATTTACTTAAATTAACATTTATTTTATTAAATTGGGAAAAATATCTCACGTTTTTGGCAAAATTAATGCCAATTTCCAGTCTTTCATCACAACTGTACAGCCCTTCAGTTCAAGTGAACCCTTTTTCACTGTTTGCTTCTCGTCTCTAAACCAGTAAAGAGTCTTCTCTTTGAGGACAAACCACAAGTCATTCTTCTGGTATGAAATCCAATCGCATTTCAAATTCTGTGTGTTTTGTTGAACGGTTAGAGCCGTGCCATAGACTTGGGCCGTCGCTATCGGTGTAGTCTTACTATCACTTCATAAAAATATAAATTAAATTAATAACACTTTAATAGCATTGTATTGAATACCCAATCATTTCGATGAAGTCCTCGTGAAGTGTGTTTGGATAACACTTTTCCATTTTAATCAAATGGTCGACAATTTGTTTGCATCTCTTATTAGACTCGTTAACAAAATCCAGAGTCAAATCGGCGAAGATTTTACTAAATTAAAAATAATATCTACTATTAATACAATTAATTTAAACAATTAACACTTACTGTAAAATAGGAAAACAATTGATGTCATCCAAACATTTGTTAATTGTTTTGGTTATCTCATCGCTAACCCAATCGATACAACCAATGGATGGCTTTATAAACATATCTGTTTTATAATCAATAAAATTATTTATTAATTAAAAATTCGAATTATAATAATTTAATTAAATACCGATTTGTGGGCCAACACATGAAGTGAATGCGGCGTCGGGTATAAAGACACCCAAACGAGTGCCGTAAGAGTTTTGGATTGCGGTTCCGATCTTACGGTTCAAACTCTTTTCGTCGTAAAACAAGAGATCAATCTCTTTGGGAAACGTGTGATTCATTAGGACATTGATTACTGCCCCACAACTCAAGCCATTGACGTCTACTTCCCAAACGTTGCCTCCCATTGAGTTCTTGAAGTGATTACGAAACGACTCAATTGTTTGGATCAAAAGTCTCTCTTTTTCTATTGAATTCTCCGGGAACTCAATTTTGTCCAATTCTTCGTTAACATTGGATAACTCCTTCTTTGTTTTGGCCTTCAATGGCGGCAATCGGGCATTAATGTGGTCAAACAGTTCCGTCTGAAGGAATTGTTGCAAATGATTAATTCCCATACGTTTAGCCATCGATGGACCGTAAGAGGGATGATTCATAAAGTATTTGCGCTCGTCTTCCAGCGCTTTCTTGATATCTTTGTTGTTATCGATATCTTTTTGGGATCTGTTAACCACTCCGTGGAAACCTCTCTTCAAACGGATGCCGTGATTACCGATCAGAATGTCTCGGGCGTCGGTTCCCGAGTCCATGAGATCTAGTTTTGTGAGAACACCGATAGTGCGGTTGCCCTCGGGATCCACTTTGTTAGCCAGTTTTAGAGCATCAGATGTCGCCAAATCTGGATTAAAATATATTTAGATTAGTTATAAACATATACTGTAATTGCATTTCACATTCAATGATACCCTGATTGGCTGCAGTGACCGCTAATATCAGGCAATTGTCTTTTGAAATGTATTTCAATATCATTTCTTCAATTTGATACTCAATGTCTTTGGGCTGATCCCCGACCGCCACTCTTGTCATTCCGGGTAAATCAACGAGAGTTAGATCCAAGACATCCGGCGAATGGATCTTCAAATTGATTGGAATCGGAGATATTCCGCAATCCTCGGGAACCTCTCTATTGGTTTCGGCAATGATTTCATTTCTGATTTCTTCGAAATCGCAAAATTGATTTCCGGGTGAATGAGAAAACTCACCGAAATCTACGAAATCCATACAAATAATCAATTTATTCAAACAATTACAAGACATTCAATAGGTTTCATACCTTCAGTGATCTCTTTGTTTGAAATCAATTGCAAAACGAGTGGTCTTCGGGTGACAATACCCGACCCGCGGGGCAGGAAATCGCGGCCAACGATAGACTCGAGAACACTGGACTTTCCCGAAGACTGCCCACCAATGACCACAATTTGTGGCAAATCAAAGTCCACACTGTCTTTGAGCTTTTCTTGTAACTCATTGACCACTTGAATGAGATTTTGAGCAAATTTTGCCATTTTTAAGGCAATTGTGGATACGATTGAGTATTAATTTTATTATAACTTATAAATTATAAGACAATCAATACTAAAATATATATGAATTGCTTTAAAATACAATTAAAATAATTTGCTGTGAAATAAATAGTGGTTTTGTTAGCAAATTAACAAAACATGTGCTTTGAATGAGTGCTAAAAAAGCAATGATTTTTATTGTGATAAAAATGTTATCAAATGATAAGAAATCAATGCTTTGCTGTAATAATTGGTTTAGTAATACAGTTGTACTACACGTACACTCATTTTTGGTCACTTTTGATTGGCTTTTATTGTTTTGTGTTAACAAAAAATGTGAGATTTTGATGAAATTACCAAAAGTTTTGCAATCATTAATTGCCAAACAAATACTGCTTTACTATTATTATAATTTTTAACGTAACTTAAAAATTGAGAAAATCATTGAAATTGTATTTAAAAATTATTGCCACATTTGAATGACATTCAAAATTGACCACTAATTAAGACTATGTAACCAATAATACAAAACCAAACTTTTATTGATTTTTGAAACAATTAAATACTCATTTTGGAAATAATTAAATTTAATTTAAAACTTATTTGCATTCATTTTATTAGAGAATTTATGTAATTTTTACACACTTTTAACCATAGATTATAGCAATTTAATGGTTTGATTACAACGTTTTCAAGAAATTTAAGATTTTTAACCACATTTGTAATTAAAATTGTTTATAAAAATGTGAGCATTAATTGCTTCACTTTTATTTTATAGGATTTGAATACAATGTTTGCGATTTAATAATAAAAGTCACATTAAATTACTATACAATGTATTTGAATAGTTTTATCAAAATAATGAAATTTAAATATTATTGTATTCATTTCAATTAATTTCCATTTGAATGATTTGCAAATTATTGGCACACAATTAGTTATATTAATTATATAATTAAACGTCATAATTAAGATTATAATAAATGGCATTCGCAGTAAAACACAATTATATAAATCAATAAATTTACAGAAAAAAGTTACATTTAGATTATTAAAGTTTTATCAAAATACAGAATTTTACACATTTTTATATTAATGTAATGTTAATTAGTTTTCAATTTTTATATCAAATCAATGATTTAAATTGTTGCAAATTATTGGCACACAATTTACTTATTAATTATAGAATTAAAAGCCATAATTATAGTTATAATAATGTCAAAAACACGAAAAAAGTTTGATTAAAATAGAAACAAATTATAAAAAGCATAAAAATTAACAAAATGTGAAAATTAAAGTCTCATTTTGGAGTACTTATCCATTATAGCAATGGCTTCGATGTAATCCTTCTTACTATCCATTAATTCAATCCTCAACTCTTTGCCCGGATGTTCACCAATGATTAAAAGTAAATTAAAACATTTAGATATCATTAAGTGATGTACTGCTTATCGTTGGCATAGACTTTAGTTTATAGAACTTTTCAATTATAGCAATGCCTTCAATGTATTGTTGTTTCTGATTCTGTAATTCAATTCTCAAGTCTTTGTTGGGATCATCGCCTATGATATCATCAATGGATGGGAACTGTTTGCGAATCAGTTCCAGAAGTCTAGTGCCAATAAATTTATCAGTAGAGTTTATTAAGTTGTGTTGACATATTTTTGGCAATTGATCTCTAAATAAATTAATTACAATAACAATAATAATTTCATTAAATAATGCTTTAAATGAACGTAAAACTACTGTATATGACATACTTGAAATTCTTCTTAATTATAACAATGAATGCATTGACTAATCTCTTCACTTTGTCCACTTTTGTTGCCATGTCTTTCTCACCAGCACTCGATGCCGTGTTAGACACTAATTCACTCATGACTTTAGGAATGGTCTGCTGAACCATTTGTGCCGCCACTTTCACCGGGACGTCAGCGATGGACGCAGTCTTTTCTTCACTACTTTAGAGATCAATAATATTTTAACGTTAGTTAAGATGTTTGCCATTAAAAACTGATAATATGTGACGTTTACCTCATTTGTTTGACAAAATCATTATAATTAGATGTACTCGGATAGCATTTCTCTGTTTCGACAAAATCCTCGACACGTTCCTTACATTTCTTATTAGATGTATGAATGAATTCAATCGTTAAAAATCTGATTTTCTCCCTAAATGTTGGAAATTGTAGTTATTATATAAAATAATAATTTAAATGTCACTTTATTTCTTGAAACGTTTGCATTTCTTCTGTACATTTGTTGATTGTCTCAATGATCTCATTGGTGACCAAATCCACACAATCCAGTGCTGGTCTCCTGAAGTTTTCTGCAATATTATCAAACAATTCAGTCACAAAATTAATATATAGGAAAATAACTTGAATACCGATTTGCTTTATAACACATGAGTTGAAGGCAGCGTCGGGTGTGAAGTGACCTGGATGTGTGCCAAAAGAGTTATAGATAGCGATTACGATCTCATCATTCAAACGATTTTGATCGCAAATTATTTCATCCACTTCTTTGGCAAACGTGTCGTTCATCAGTAGATTAATCTTTGATCCGCCGCTCAATTCAGTCACATTCACTTCCCATACCTTTCCTCCCATTGAACTCTTAAACAACTCCAGAAACTGATAGTTGTTTTCAGACAAAAGTAGTTCTTTATTGTCCTCTTTTAACGGTTTCTCTATTTTTTCTAATTTATCGTTAGTTTCGCGCAGTTTTGAGTCTAATTTGGTCTTCAAAGGCGGCAATTTGCGGGAAATATGGTTTGACAGTTCCTGTTGTAGATATTCCTGAAGGTATTTAATACCCAATCGTTTGGCCATTTCTGGTCCATAAGCCGGATGTTCGATAAAGAACTCGCTTTCGTCGGCCAACGCTTTCGTAATGTCTTTTTCCTCGTCGATATCTTTTTGGGATCGATTAACGACACCAATAAAACCGCGTTTCAATCGAAAACCGTGTTTGCCGTTCAAAATATCTCTGACATCGGTTCCCTTATCCATGAGATCCAGTTTTGTGAGGACAGCAATGGTTCGGTCACCGCTTGGATCAACCTTTTTGGCCAGTTTGAGGGCATCAGAAGTGGCCAAATCTGCGAATTTAGTTATTTACAAAATAATTATCATTATTATGGATATTCTTAAATCAGACAAACCCTGATTGGCTGCAGTGACCGCTAAAATCAGACAATTTTCTTTTCCGATGTATTTCAAAATCATTTCTTCAATTTGAAACTCAATATCGTTGGGCTGATCCTCGAGCGGCACTCTTGTCATTCCCGGCAAATCAACTAGAGTTAGATCCAACACATCCGGCGAATAGATCTTTAGTTTGATTGGTTTCGATGACACTCCTCGGCTTTCCTTAACCTTTCTTTTGGTTTCAGCTGTGATTTCATCGCGTATTTCTTCAAAACTCTCAAATTGTTTTCGCGGCGAATGAAGAAATTCTCCGAACGCTTGCATTTTATACATTAATTAGTTTTAATTAAATTTAATTTTTGGCATTTTCTTACGTTTTGTATTATTTTTATCATATATTAATTGCAGAACGAGTGGTCTTCGGGTGACAATACCTGTCCCGCGGGGCAGGAAATCGCGGCCAACAATACTCTCCAAAACACTGGATTTTCCCGAAGACTGTCCGCCGATTACAACGATTTGTGGCAAATCTAAGGCATTATTGTCTTTAATTTTTTCTTGTAATTCATTGACCACTTGAATAAAATTTGGCGCAAATTTAGCCATTTTTCAATACTTTTATCGATACGATTAAGTAATAAATTTATTATAAGACAATTAATAATCTATTAATGGCTTTGAAATAAAATTAACATAATTTGCTGTGAAATAAATGGTGATATTGTTAGCAAAACATGTGCTTTGAATGAGTGCTAAAAAATCAATGGTTTGATAAAAATGCTTTAAAATATTTCATCACTAATTCTGAGAAATATATCCGTTAACTAATCACGTGATTATAAAACATTACCAAAAATGGTAAAAATTTATTTGCCAAACAGTAACTATAACAGTAATAATGTATTTCCAGTGAAAATTTTTAAGTATTGAACTTTTACCAAACTTTTATTGGTTTGCAAAATAAATTAACACACATTTTGGAAATTATTTAAATTTAACCATCTGTAGACATTCTTACGAGAAAAGTCTCGGAGTGAGTTTAAAACTTATGGCTAAAATCAGCGGTTAATGTCTGTGTTAAAAAATTTCAGCATAGCCTCAACCAAACATTTGAGTAAATATTGAATTAATCAAAATGTGATTATCATGTCTGGTGTCCGAGCAGTGGATTTTCAAAGAGAGGTCACTTCAAAAACTCTCCCAGAAGGTGAAACGTGCAACTTTTTGAACGCTTAACAAATCAGTGCTTTTCAACTATATAGCATATTTCGACGCGCCGCCACTCACTGACAGCCCCTTTTCACGCACTATTTGTTGGCTTATGCGCATAAGTCTAATGCACTGTACGTTAAAAGCATACAAAGGGTTCAAATAACTCAAATAACAGACGGCGCGCACATCGACAGTAACGCGCATAGCCTTCATGGAGAGTTATCTCCCTTGGATTGCATCATTGAATGCTATGTATGCAGTGTATGAGTTGTATTGCTTGGGGTTTGCGTGTAGAGGTTGTGGTTTGAGTATGGAGCATGCGTTTTAGTTTACAATGTATCCATAAATTATAACAAATTTATATTGTATAAATAAAAACCCCATATTCATATTTAAATATGAATATGGGGTTATTTTAATGCGTAATATATATTTTATTTTAACGCAAAGTGTTTGAAATGATATGCGGTTTGATTGTGAGTGAAAGTGCCTAAAAGGCGGCATTCAATTCATTAATAATTGCGACAACAATTTCAACATTTTAGCCAAACAAATAGACATAATTTTGCCTTATTTGCCATAAAATGAATTCATTTATCGCTTTTTAATTGCAATTAAAACTCTAATCTATTCCTCATAACATCTCTGATTAAAAGCCAAACTAATTGTGATTTAAATACTGTATAAATACAAGAGTTGAATGCATTGATTGTAATAAAAGCCTATGTCTAATAGTTTGCTATCATTGTTGCCATTATTTTCAAACATTGAATTGTTGTGTTGTGCGGACCTGTGCTGACCCGCCCTTCCCTTTGAACAGATGCCTCAATCGGCGCGTAAATTGCTTACCAATGGCCGACAGTCGGTCTGACCGCTAGTCACTCGTCGGCGGTTAACGCAAGACTCATTTTAGCCAAAATGTTTCAAAACAATGGACAACAACAACAAAAGCAATACTAATTCTGGTAAGCATTCAATGGTTGCCTTCAATGCAATTAACGGCCAAAACTCTTGTACTCACCGTTTATACAGTGAACACACCTCAGAGCCAACAACCGGTGCTGTCGTTCATAACTGACGACACGTACAGTTTTTAGTACACATCTCTGGCCAACATGTTACGCAACAACGCGTTTTCATCACTGGTCGGAGCGGCCACTAATCAATACATGTTCTGTAGTTGTTTTTGTTAATTAAATATTTATTTTTTATTGTGATTAAAATTGATTAATAATATACTCTAAGTCTCTGACCACTCAACAGATACCGAACAGAGCGCCGAAGAGGTGGACAGTGATTATGAGGAAGAGTTTTGTTCAGCAAATAACACAACATCTCAATCAACTAATACAAGATCACATGATATATTGCGCGAAAAATAAAAGTATTTAATTAATAGATTACCCATAAGTCCTATTTAAATAGGACTTATGGGTATTTAATTATTTACTCATGAATTAAATTCATTCAACAGAAGACAACAAACCATTCAACGGCTAAACCATACAAAGGCTAAACCATACAACCACTAAACAATTCAACGACTAAATCATACAATCACTAAACTATACAACGGCTAAACTATACAACGGCTAAACCATACAACCACTAAACAATACACGGCTAAACCACAATTTTTGTAAACAACTATATTTTGCTGTATAATAACATCAGTTTAAGTAAATAAATAAATTATATATAAACGATGTTTATGTATTATTGTGTCATAAAAACTATGTTTTTAAAACCATAGCTACGTGTATGGTATACTGAACAGTGAATACACTACACATTCTCGTACCATAGCATACATAGAAAATGCTTTAACATACAACCCATTATAACACTGGGAAAGTATTTGTGAAGAAGGCTATAGTTGTAATTAGTAACTAGTGCGCAAACTCTCCAATTCATTGCTGCTTCACACCAGTTGATTACATAGACTTATAATAAACTCTCGCTTATCCCCTCACTGCTGCCATCTCGACTATCCTATAAATTAGCTGCTCTGCAACTCCGAGATTTGTTTCGGGAGAATGTTCTTCGCGGGACTAATTTAAGAATGTGGACGGATGGTTAAATCAAATATAATTTGCAATTATTTTATTAGAAAAATCACACAACTATTTACTCAATTTTAACCATAAATTATATCAATTCAATGGTTTGATTACAATGTTTGTCAAAAAATTAGTTTTACATTGATTCTAATCGAAATTTGTAAATTAAAAAATTATTTAAAAAATCACATAAACATAATTATTTGAAAGACAATTAAGAATAATATTCAGAACATTATTAAAGATTATAAATAATTATAATGAATTTAAAATTAACCCGATTTATAATGAGTGCAAAATCAGCAAAATTAAGTCAAAATTGAAATCAAATGAATTAAAATGAGTTAATTTTCTAATTAAAAACTCATAAATAGGTTATATAGCTACGGTAGGTACATAACGACAAACGCTCAGTAATTGAGTTTGGAGAACATAAATAACCCTAGTAGTGGCTACTACAGCTCAATTGTCTTGAATTGTTGTCGAATCTGAATCTGAAGTTCAGTACTAATGAAGTCGGAGGTCGAGTCCATGAGCTCGTGTTGACATATCTTTGGCAAACGATCCCTAAACCAAACCAATGTATTAAATGATGGTTTAGTATTTTGGTTCACTAAAGTTCTGTTTGAATTACACAAAGAATTCATGTCACTACATACGCAACTAATTAGAGAAGTGAAGGAGGTGGACATGGTGGTATATCAGCCCGTAAGCCATGTCTTCATTGGGGTCGTTGAGACTCGATTGGGAACCACTCATGTGGAATGGCATCTGATCCAAATCGTTGCGTTGAGCCCTAAACTGAAACAAATACCGCTTAACCCCCGCCTCCTCTAACCATTGTCGCCATTTCAACGCCTCTTCGCTCGAGTGAAACACTAACTCAAACTCGTTGTTAATTCTGGTATTAATTAAGAATTAAATCACAAATAAATTAGTATTAAAATAAAAACTTTAATTTTCAATACCTTTTGGGCAAAATTAGGGCAACAATACAGTCATTGCCTATTTTGGCGTTAAATTGAGCGCCTTTTAGATCAATTGAACCCATTTTGTCGGTTTGGGAATCGTTTTTAAACCAACAAAGAGTGGTTCCTCTCAACACAAACCAGTGGTCGTTATTATTGTAGTCAATCCAACCGCACTTTGAATTCTGGTCAACCATTTCGGCCGACACTTTCAATTGGGCGTCAGCTATGGGTTTGGATTTCACGTCACTTAACAGAAATATACACATAAATCAATGACAAAACTAATGTAAAAATTAATTATATGTCCATTAAATACCCAATCAGTTTGAGAAAGTCTTCGTTAATCGTATTCACAAAGCATTTCTCAGTATCGATAAAATGATTGACAAATGATTTGCATTTCTTATTACACTCGCGAATGAAGTCAAGCGTCAAACGGGAAAATATTTGCCTAAATTATCGCATATATAAAATCAATCATTTATTTAAATTGTTTTAAAACTCACTTCAAGTTAGGAAAACAGTGAATATCATCGATACATGTATTGACAGTTTTAACCATCTCTTCGGTGACCCAATCGACGCAAACAATTGATGGCTTTCTGAATAGCTCTGGAAAAAAACAATGAGTTATCTTAAACTCAATACTAGTTTAACAGCCGTTAAAACAAATACCCATTTGGGAGACAACACACGCTGTGAAGGCGTCGTCGGGTATGAAAATACCCAAATGGGAGCCGAAGGCGTTTTGGATGGCGATCGCGATCTCTCGGCCCATACTGTCGTCATCGGTGTCCAAATCATCCACTTCTTTGGCAAACGTGTCGCACATCAAGACATTGATTCGGGCGCCACATGTCAGCTGTTTTACATTCACTTCATTACCATTGCCTCCCATTGAGCTCCTGAAGCAGTTCCGAAACGTGTCTATAGTTTTGGCCAAAAGTCTCTCCTTATCTAAGCTCTCGATCGGGAACTCAATTTTGGCCAATTCTTCATTGGTTTTCATCAGATTTGACTCCATATTGGACTTCAATGGCACCAATCGTTTGCCGATATGACTCGACAGCTGTTTCTGGAGAAACTTCTGGAGGTATTTAATACCCGCCGTTTTGGCCAACTCTGGCCCATAGGACGGGTTATCTTCGAAGAACCGCTGTTCGGCCGCCAAAGCCTTCTTCATGTCTTTGTTGGCTTCGATGTCTTTCTGCGATCGCAACACAACGCCAACAAACCCTCGTTTCAATCGGATCTTATGATTACCCGTCAAAATATCTCTGGCATCGGTTCCCTCATCCATGAGATCCAGTTTTGTGAGCACTCCGATAGTGCGATCGCCCTCGGGATCCACTTTACCGGCGAGTTTTAAAGCATCAGAAGTGGCCAAATCTGCACAAGTATTATAATAATCATAACCTTTATGTAGTAAAAAATGAATGGATGGATACCCTGATTGGCTGCAGTGACCGCTAATATCAGACAATTATCTCCGCGAATGTATTTCAATATTATTCTCTCAATCCTGTCCTCAATATCTTTGGGCTGATCCCCGACCGCCACTCTTGTCATTCCCGGCAGATCTACAAGAGTTAGATCCAACATTTTCGAAGAGGTTATCTTCAGAGTGATCGGATCCGGTGATATTCCTGCGCTTTCGGACACTCCTCGGTTGGTTTCGGCAGTGATTTCATCCCTGATTTCGTTAAAATCGTAAAACTTTTTACCCTTGAAGTGATCGAATTCACCGAAATCTATGCCAAAACCATACAAATAATCAATTTATTTATCCAAACAATTATATAATCAATCAATTCATACCTTTAGTGTTGTTTTTGTCTAAAAACAATTGTAGGACAAGTGGTCTTCGGGTGACAATACCCGACCCGCGGGGCAGGAAATCGCGGCCAACAATGCTCTCCAAAACGCTAGACTTTCCCGAAGACTGTCCGCCGACGACCACTATTTGCGGCAAATCTAAAGCGACGGTTCCCTTGAGTTTGTCCTGTAATTCATTGACAATTTGTATCAAATTAGCGGCAAATCGAGGAGTTTTCGGGACACCGGATGTCGTGGCTCTCGGATCACCGGAACCGTCGCCGAGACTGTAGTTATCGTTTGTGAAGATATTGGCCGCACTCTTAGCTCTGGTCAGTCGAGTCCACAACCTGTGAAGATAGTAGCGGTTGTGGACAATAGTGACCAACAATACGATACCGATTGTCCACAACAAAAGTGTGTAAAACAGGGTTTCAATGAATGTCCAAATCATCGTTAAAACTTGGCCTCAATTGCTAAACACGTGAAGCGTTTGAGTGAAACAATGGGTTTGCAAATTGCAATCCTATTGTGTGTTAAAGGCTTGCATACAATGCACTGCATTTGCATGCATTACAAGGGCTAACATATACCGTGTTTTACACACAGTGTACTGTATTTATGGCAATAATCAATAATCGATGACAAATTGTAATTTTTGTTAACATTACTAAAACAAAACTTAAGACTTATTGATTCAAATGTAAAATTGTCGGAGAGATTGATAGATAAGACGGCACTGCTATAAGGCTAGAGTCAATGTTAATGAGTCATTAAATCAACTTTTGTCGATAACATGCAAATATTGCAAACATTAAACACATAACGTAAAAGTCAATTTAGTTTTTTATGTTTAATCTAAATTCTTAAAAATTAACTGTGAAATTGTTATGAGTGTTGGACTGAAATCCAATATTTCAATTCCTGTAAAATTATCATGTAAATTTAAATAATGCTACCACCTTATAGAAGTACTTATTTTATGAGTTCACTACAATCACTAAATTATAAGACACTGACTGTTGTCAATTGTCACATCAAATTCAATGCAAAATAACTTTTATTTTATAGGATTTAAATACAATGTTTGCGATTTATTAATACACAATAAGTCACATTTAGATTATTATAGTTTTATCAAAATAATAAAGAAATTTAGATATTATTGTATTCATTTCAATTAGTTTTCAATTTGAATGATTTGCAAATTATTGGCACACAATTAGTTATATTAATTATACAATTAAACGTCATAATTAAGATTATAATAAATGGCATTCGTATTAAAACACAATTATAAAAAGCATTAAATTTACACAACAAATATTAAGATTAGTAATGTGTAGTTTTATCAAAATACAGAATTTTACACATTTTTATATTAATGTAATGTTAATTAGTTTGTAATTTAAATATCAAATCAATGATTTAAATTTGCTGCAAATGATTGGCACACAATTTACTTATTAATTATATAATTAAACATAATTAGGATTATAGTTGTGATTAAGATTATAATAAATGGCATTCATATTAAAGCATAATTATTTTTGAAAAGTGTAGGAATTAACATAATTTGAAATTCAAATTCTCATTTTGGAGTACTTATCCATTATAGCAATGGCTTCGATGTAATCCCTCTTCTTATTGATTAACTCAATCCTCAGCTCTTTGTCGGGGTCTTCACCAATGATTTCATCGATGGAACGATTAAACTGATCCATAATTCGTTTCCGAAGTTCTTTCTCAATGAACTCTGAGGTGGCGTTTATGAGCTCTAATTGACACAATTTAGGCAATCGATCCCTACATTAAACCAATTATAATAAACGTATTTAATATCAAATAATATATTCAATAATATTCATAACTAACTTAAATGTCTTCTTAAGTATCACGAAATACGTGTGAAGATATCGCTTCACTTCATCCACTTGTGGTTTCATTACGTCGGGAAACGACATGTCTTGAGACAAACCATTGGCACTCAATTGGGAACCGTTTTCAAAAAACTCGTCACATTTTGAATCCCAATCAATGGTTTGAGCGATTCTCGTACTTCTCGTAACGCCCGCCTCTACTAACCATTGATACCATTTGGCCATCGCTTCACCCGAATTAAAAGCCAATATAAAGTCACTGCTAATGCGATAACTAATTAAATAAAAGTAAAATAATTTCAATATTAAAACTTACAAAACAATTAGGAAAATATCTCACGATTTTGGCAAAATGATAGCCAGTTTCCAACCATTGAACACCATTTGACAGCCATTTAAATCGAGTGAACCTTTTTTGCCATTTTGTTTCATATCTCTAAACCAGTAAAGAGTGTTATCTCTGAGAACAAACCACAAGTCATTCTTCTGGTATGAAATCCAATCGCATTTCAAATTCCGTGCGTTTTGTTGAACCGCTAAAGCCGTGCCAATCACTGGTGGTGCCGGTGCTATGGGTGTAGTCTTGATATCACTAGTAAAACAGTCATCAAAATCAATAACAGATTAATAACATTATAATGAATACCCAATCATTTCAATGAAGTCCTCGTGACGTGTGTTTGGATAGCATTTCTCAATTTTAATCAAATGGTTGACAATTTTTTTGCACTCTTTATTAGACTCGCGAACAAAATCCAGAGTTAAGTCGGCGAAGGATTTCCTAAATTGATAGTAAATTTCCATTAATAATAGAAAATAATTTTTAAGACAAATAAACTTACTTTAAATTAGGAAAACAGTTGATATCATCCAAACATTTGTTGATTGTTTTCCTTATCTCATCGGTAACCCAATCGACACAATCGATTGACGGCTTTTTGAACAATTCTGTTAACAATAGGTAGTAATTATTTACAATATAATTCATTTGATGATAATTTTAAATACCGATTTGTGGGCCAAAACATGTGGTGAATGCGGTGTTGGGAATGAAAACATCCAAACGAGTGCCCGAAGAGTTTTGAATCGCTGTTGCGATTCTACGGCCCAAACGCTTCTCGTCGTAAAACAAGAGATCAATTTGTTTGGGAAACGTGTCGTTCATCAGGACATTGATAATCGCACCGCAACTCAGATCATTGACATCCACTTCCCAAACGTTACCTCCCATTGAGCTCTTGAAATGTTTGCAAAACTTTTCAATCATTTGAACCAAAATTCTTTGCTTTTCCATCGGGTCCTCCGGGAACTCAATTCCCTCCAATTCTTCAGTAATTTGTCTTAATTTCTCTTCTGTTTTGGTCATCATTGGTGTCATCCGATTGGCGATGTGTTCAAACAGTTCCTTCTGAAGGAATTGTTTCAAATATTCAATACCCATACGTTTGGCCATCGATGGCCCGTACGAGGGGTGATCCACAAAAAACTTGTGCTCGTCTTCCATTGCTTTCTTCATTTTTTTGTTTCCTTCGATGTCTTTTTGTGACCGATTAACCACTCCATAGAAACCCCTCTTCAAACGGATGTCATGTTTTCCTAACAGTATATTGCGGGCATCGGTTCCCTTATCCATGATATCAAGTTTTGTTAGAACACCAATAGTGCGGTTGCCCTTGGGATCCACTTTATTGGCCAGTTTTAGGGCATCAGAAGTCGCCAAATCTGGATTAAGGAATAATTACGGTAGTTATAAAAAATTTAATGGTTTTTACAAATCAAGAGATACCCTGATTGGCTGCAGTGACGGCCAAAATGAGACAATTTTCACCAGTAATGTAATCCAAAATCATTTTCTCGATTTGAAACTCAATATCTTTGGGTTGGTTCCCAACGGCCACTCTTGTCATTCCCGGCAGATCTACAAGAGTTAGATCCAACATTTCGGAGGAATAGATCTTCAGATTGATTGGTTTCGATGATATTCCTCTGCTTTCGGGCACTACTCGATCGGTTTCGGCAATGATTTCATCTCTGATTTCGTTGTAATTGTAAAACTTCTTTTCGGGTAAATGAAGAAATACACCGAAATCTATACAAATTCATACAAATAAGCAATTAATGAAAACAATTACAGTATAACCAATGGTTCGCATACCTCTGGTAATGGTTTTGTCTGACTTTATTTGTAGCACAAGTGGTCTTCGGGTGACAATACCCGACCCGCGGGGCAGGAAATCGTGGCCAACAATGCTCTCCAAAACGCTGGACTTTCCCGACGACTGTCCGCCGACGACCACTATTTGCGGCAAATCCAACGCAAGGCTGTCATTGAGTTTGTCCTGCAGTTCATTCAACATTTTGACCAAATTTGGGTCAAATAACGGCGTTTTCGGGTCACCCGAGAACATGGCTCTCAATGAACGGCAACCGTTGCCACCAATAGTGTCATTGTTGGCGACCCTTCCCTGGGCTCGAGTCGGTCGGGTCCGGGGCTCAAGTTTGCGGACAATCCATTTGGTCACAAGGATTACCGCAATCGCCAACACTATCAAAGACATGGCGTCCATGTGATAGAGTGTCCGAAACAGGTGGACATTGTATAACATGATAGGGATTACGGCAATCAGTGTCCACCACCCCATGCGATACAGTGTCCGAAACAAGTAGACAATGAATGTCCAAATCATGGTTAAAGTGGACATCAATTGCTAAACACGTCCAGTGTTTGAGCGAAACAATGGGTTTGCAGTCCTATTGTGTTGAAGGCTTGCATACCACTGGTAGCGTAAATAAAAAGTAGCGAAAATGTGATTTTTCTTCGCGCATAAAATACGTAATGAAATCGCATATAAATTTATTTAAGTTTATTCAACAAAAAACGTGACAATTTCTGGACGTTACTATT